TAATATGGTACCTAATTCTTAATTTCTAAATCCTAAATAATTAGGTATCTAAAGTATGTATTAACAAATAATATAATATAATGGTTATTATGTATAAATAAAACRAGTGATCATCTAAGCATATAGTTTTGTTRAACGTGTTCAAGATGTATTTAGTTAAATTAAGTGTATAGTGGAATCATAGCAATCTAAAGGGTTTGAATACAATCATCGTAGAGTATTATGATTAATATATTATGATATAATAAAAGGCTTGATTTAACGTATCAAACAAATTGGAAATTTTTATATATAATAAAATCGTTACTTTGAGATACTGAAAACATCTTTCAAAGTATTTGTTTTATCTCTTTTTAATTTAAATACTATACATACCCTTCCTATACGCATTTAAGTGGAATTCTTTATAAACGTATATAAACTTCGTATTAGAAAAATACTGAGAATAATTATTAAATGTTTCCAAGAAAACTTTGTGAATTGTAAGTTTAAAAAAAAAGCAAAAAGTATAATAATAAAATGCCTTAAATGCATTATAAAAATAAAATATTTACCTACCAATATATGCACGCATAAAAAATAAAACAAAATACAATGTACCTATACAACCAGTTTTTTTTTTTTTAGATATCAGTATACGCTTTTAGTTCGTAAACAAATTTATTGTACGTGTACTTACCGACATTTCGATGCTAGGGTGATCAATGAACACCATTTCAGACTCTTCGCCATCCAGTAGAATGGAAACTGTTTTTTCACCAAACTCGTCATCTGCAAACGTAATTGACAATTTACCATAAAAAGGTATACGTACATTGTGCGTTTCTTCTAAGCAATAATACATTATTCATTCGGTACTTTTATTAAATCCATTTCGAGATAGAAAATAGAATTTACCAGAGTTTCCGTTCCCCATTCTAAAGAACTTCATTATACCATAAAATAACGTACGTACATATAATGTAAAGCCTGTCATTCTAAGGCCAACGTGGTGTGTACCTACTGCGGACGTATACCTCCGAGTTTACGTCACTTCAAAAACAATTCAGAAAAATAAATAAATACAAATAGTCAGGTTAAAGTGGATTGGAATGATTTTATTGGTAACTTAACATCACTTCAAGTGTATTTGTTATAGGCATGTCGTCTAAAATAATAAAAGGGATGATTTTGTTTCCTCTCAAACGAAGATTTCATTATTGTTAGGTAAGTTTACTAATAAATAACAATGACTGATATTGTTATGATTGATTTACGTGACGTTGAGATGATAGTATTAGTAAATAACTAGCTTTCGGTCTCTTGTTGAAGTACTGCGGTCCCGGATTTTTTCTTKCCAAGCAGTAGCCCCTTTGCATATGGCTACGCGCCCACGGTCAGAGGCCCCRTCCCTGCACAGTTGTAACATMCCTGCAGAGCGAACGACACATTTATAGGTCATGATATTGTGTCTAGAACTAGCGTTTCTTGCTAGTCGACACGAACGATCACAGATCCGGCTCGCTAGCCWAAGCCTGACCGACGAAACCGTGTGATACTCACTGTCCCCATCTATTATAGATATATTTATCCTTGCATGTTATTATAATAATATAATAAACACACAGTAATACCACAAACGGCACAAATACTTGCTTATTTTTCTTTACACGGGATGGCCGGTATATTAGAAGACCACGCCGTTTCAACCTACACAGTCAATTCAAAAGTTACAGGTAGTAGGAGTTATATTGTAAGGCATTTCGTTGTGAAATTAAATATAATATGCACAATAAATTAGCGCGTTCATAAGAATTTTTTTTTTTATTGATCACAAAAAAACATCGACAGCAAAGGCCATTAGTTATAGAAAGTTAAAAGATATGCACAAATAAGTGTTTACATCTATATTTACAAAAATGAGTTATAAATAAAATGGGATGTACATTTTTATTTTTTAGATTCTGAACGAAGTGATGAATGTATTGATTTTACAATGATGTATGTTTTTTT